GGAAGGAAGGAAGGAAGGAAGGAAGGAAGGAAGGAAGGAAGGAAGGACGGACTATGGAGTCCTTCGTGCTCTCGGAGGAATTTGGTTGCTTTCTTGCAGATGTTTCGTGACCCAACTAGGTAACTTCATCAGTGCCAGAAGGGTGTTTGCAGAGAGGAGGGGGAGGAGGAAGGAAGGAAGGGAAGGAAGGAAGGAAGGGAAGGAAGGAAGGAAGGAAGGAAGGAAGGAAGGAAGGACGATGGAGTCCTTCATGCTTTCTGAGGAACTTGGTTGCTTTCTTGCAGATGTTTCATGATCCAACTAGGTAACTTCATCAGTGTTGGAAGGGAGGAGGAGGAACAACTGGGGAGTCTTTGGTGCTAGTTCTGGACACTAGACCTTTCAAAAGTTCCATTTTTGGGAGTGCGTCCTAATTTTGACTGGTTGCTAAGCAACAGATCGTATAAGCCGAGGATTACTTGCATGGGTTTGCCATAACTGAAACTTTTGATCAGTTCAGGAAGACTCCAGCCAAATGACATGGATTGAAATTTTCTGAATCTTTTAGTTCAAGGGTCTTCCAACTTGGCAAGTTTAAGACTTGTGGACTTCAACTCCCAGAATCCCTGAGCTAACATGACTGGAGGGGGAATTGTGGGAGTTGAAGTCCACAAGTCTTCATATTGGCCAAGGTTGGAGACCCCTGCTTTAGGGTACTTCTGTAGTGAAATAGGTATTTTTCCCCCCCTTCTGCTGGAATAAGGTGCTAAGCAAATGCCCCAACTAACATTTGTGTTGGTTGATCCCCGCCGATCTTCCTTGCAGTCATGGGCAAAGCTGAAGGATCCGTGGCCAGGGAAGAGTGGCACGGCCACGTGACCGCGCTCTCGGTGGCCCCCGAGTTCCGCCGGTTGGGGCTGGCTGCCAAACTGATGGAGCTGCTGGAGGAAATCTCGGAGAGGTGAGGCAGATTTTGTGAGCAAATATATTTGGGTGAGTTCTCAGGGAGGTATGGATTAGGGTAAAAAAATCCTAATTGTTAATATTCAATTTAGGGAAACGGTCTGGTTTCTTAGGAATGAGACAGAGGGATGACGAAACTTCAAAGATAGCTGGATTTCGTTTTTAGGCTACAGCTTGTGCGTTTTGTGGCTTTCTTAAAAATAGATGATGGCATGAGATTAGATAGATGGATGGATGGATGGTTGGATATGGGAGTAAAATTAATAGAGGAAATAGAGGAATTTGGCAAGGTTGCAGGCCTTACGATAAATAAAAATGAAATTCTTGACTAAAAATTTAAAAGATAACCAAAAAAAGAATTAGAGGGAGAATCATTTTCAATTCATTTAAAAATTACATGGTTGCAGAAAGCAAATTTAAATAATAGTGGGACAAAGTGCTTTTAAGTGTATAAGAGCTAGTCAATCTTTGCATTTATGGGTGGATTTTATAGCAATAAGAAGATGGTTCATGATAAGAGCTAATTGTAACAAAAGAAACATTCATGTGAAATCTATCTATATATAAAAGCGAAATGCCACTCACGCATCATCACAAAAATCTCCGGAACCATAAAGCCTACAAACTTGAAATTCGGCACGTATCTTCCTCTTGGCTTCTAGGGGCTCACTAAGAAAGGATTTTTCGAAATGACCCCCAGAGCATTAATATTTTGTGTATTATTGTTAACATGCTCTGATGCAAAGGAGTTCTACTCCCCCGCCCACCTGAAAAGAAATCTCTTCCAAATGCAAAATACAAGCAGAGGACTTTCAGTTTCACTTTTACTTTCACAGCACCAAGCAGCTTTAGTACAGAGCAGTTGAGCTAAGCCGTGCCCAGGCTCCTTGCTGTCTCCTTGCTCACACAGCAAATACTCTTTCAGTTTCCAAACAGCCCTCAACTCTTTCACACACTGACAGGACGCTAGCCAGATGAATACTGATGGATGATGGTAGGCAGAGGCAGAATTCCCCCCCCCCTTATTTTCCTCCCCAAAATCTAAGCCCGACCACATAGTTTTGTAGCAAAGCACGGGCATCAAACTAGTGTATATCTATTACCTCATTGTAATTTGTAATAGGTTACCTCATTGTAATTTGAGTGCTCTTAATTTCTCCTTGTATTTCATTTTAGAGTTGTAATATAATTAAACCAGAACATAAGAGAACATTAATTAAAACATTGTGAGCGGCGCAGCGGTCTAGAGGTGAAGATGCTCTCCACCCACTCGAAAGGTTGACAGTTCAATCCCAGGCAGTGACAGATATTTCTCCCTCTGGGTGCAAAGAGGAAATATCTGCTGTGAACTCCGCATAGGCTTCAGGGAGGGCATCCAGCTGGTAAATGCTCGGCTCCAATCTGTCATCCCGATTTCACCCCGATAAAATAAGACAAATAAAAAAAAAAACCGAGAACATTAATCCAATCATTTTCTAGTCAGGGAATCCCCCCTAACGCTTCAATTCTTATTTGCCCACGAACAGATAACACCTTGCAATTTTACTTAGCGCCGTCATTTCTCCTAATAGCGCCGCACAATCTTAAATGTTGCTCTCGCTGTCTTCTTACCCTTCCGTCTTCTTTTCTTGCTGAAGAAAGGGTGGATTTTTCGTGGATCTCTTTGTGAGAGTGTCAAATCAGGTTGCGGTGAACATGTACAAGCAACTGGGCTACAGCGTGTACAGAACCGTGTTAGAGTACTACTCGGCCAGCAGCGGGGAACCTGACGAAGATGCTTACGGTAAGTGTGCGGATTTTTAGTCGCAAAAGGGTACTTGGGATAAACGCATGGTGCCAGCTGTAAAGAACCAGGGACATTCACTTGAGTTCCAAGCCCTGAAGAGCTGATTATTGCTACTTATACTCAAGAATCTGGTCGATTTAACGGTCAAAACTAAATTGGCCCTAGATCAGGGTCAATGGAATTCAGGGATGGGGCTGAATGTAGGTCTCTTGCGAGAGCACGAAGATTCCAAACTGCTGACATATTTCACCCCCCCACCATCCAGCTCAGTCTGTTCATCTCCCACAGAAGATTGACACAAATCCCCATTTAAAAAAATGTCTTTGCCTCTATTTGTTTTAAGTTCTTACATGCAAAATACAGGAACAAATCCTGCCAAACTATACATTTGGTTTTTCCCCCCCAAAATTTTTAATTTATTCAAAAAAGACAAAATATTTAAAAAAAAAATAGAACAAGACATTCACAAAAAGTGTCTTAAAAAAAAAACCTAAAACCAACACATACATACACCTAACCTCCTCCCTAGTTGAATGCTGATTAATATAACAATTTGGTTTCCCACCCCTTTTGAAACAGGCCCTGTTGTTAAAACTACTAAATCTACTTACAAAGTGTTAGCCTGTCATTTATAGATCTATAAGCTCTGTTAATAACAAAATATTGAACAATACAAGCAATAATAATGAACTTATTATGTAAAAGTATAAGAATAAATTATAATATAATAATGAAGAAAAGGACCAGGGGAGACGTGATCGCAGTCTTCCAATATTTGAAGGGCTGCCCCAGAGAGGAGGAGGGGGTCAAGCTATTTTCTAAAGCCCCCGAAGGCCAGACAAGGAGTAATGGATGGAAACTGATCGAGGAGAGATTCAACCTGGAAATAAGGAGAAACTTTCTGACAGTGAGAACAATCAACCCATGGAACAGAAGTTGCCTTCAGAAGTTGTGGGAGCGCCATCACTTGAGACTTTCAGGAAGAGATTGGACTGCCATTTGACAGAAATGGTGTAGGGTCTGCTGCTTGGGTGGGTAGGTGGGGTTGGACTAGATTACCTATAAGGTCCCTTCCAACTCTGTTAATCTGTAATCTGCAATCAACTATACATTTCTTACATTTTATATTTTGATAAATAGCCTTATGTATATATTTTTGCGCTGTATTACAATATTAAATATTATTAAACATTCAAGTTAGCACAGGGGGAACCTGTATATACACATTTATCTGTAATCCAAATTTCCCAAAAGACAATCAAATGCCATTCGAGAGACAGAACAGATGCAGAACAAAATGAGCTTGTCAGCCCACTGCATCATTGGTGGAAAATGGACAATAATAGCATGCAATATCCAACTTTACTCCAGATGTTGAGTTTTCTGCACCACTCCTATAACTCTTGAGTTTTGAGCTGGTGTGTTTGTAAACCTGTAGTTATGTCGTTAATGGCTCCCTGAGCATCCTCAGGATAGAAACTCTGTGGATTTGGGGGGAGAATCTCATTCCAGAGGGTTGAGAGCTGCTGCAGCTGCTCTGGGCTTTGAATTGTAGGTTGTGTTCCTAATCTATATTTCGTTCCATGTTGTTTTTTTTTTTTTGTTACAGACATGAGGAAAGCTCTATCAAGAGATAAAGAGAAGAAATCAATTATACCTTTACCACATCCTGTCCGGCCGGAAGATATTGAATAATACTGTGGGTTGCTGTAAAATATATCGAGAATAAAATCTGTAGATACATGAGAACAATTAGGAGATCTCTAATGCAACTGGGAGTTTTGGAAGAAAAAGAGAGAGTATATGCAAATATGAAGACATGTTTTTGCTTTTAGGCTGCGCTTCTAAACCTCGTAATGCCTCAAAAGCCCAAAACAATCTTTTAACTTCCATGTTTATCACGATTCAGTTTTAAAAACAATATTAATAAATCCGAAGGCCGTGTTGTTAATAATGCAGGGCTGATCATTTTCACCGAATTTTACATTAATAAATTTTTTTTAAAAAAGTATAATGTTTGCGGGGTGGAAAATCCCGTTTAAAATGTGAGGAATGCGAATTGTCAAAATAAAAATATGATACACGCTGGAGGTTTTTAAGAAAAGATCGTTGGACAGTCCCTTGTCTGAAGTGGTATAGGGTTTTTCGTGTGAGCAGGGGGTTGGACTAGAAGACCTCCAAAGTCCCTTCCAACTCTTATTCTGGTACAATACAGTAAGGGGAAAGAAGGGAGTGGGAGAAAACACACCGTGCCATAATTTTCCCTAGGCAAACAAATCAGGCTTTGACAACCTGACATTGTCCAAGTTTGGGGCCCCAATATTTCCCTCTCAGTGGTAATGCTGGCTTAGTCAACCTCTAGAAGGCAGTAAAGGGAACTGGTGGGATTCAAAAATCCCAGCAACCGTTTTGCTGCCTGGTTGCTGGGTGGGCGTGGCCATGGTGGGCGTGGCCTACTGGAACTTCTGGGAGGGCCGTTTTTCGCCTTCCCCAGAGTCCGGAGGCTTCCCTCGGGCCTCTGGGAGGGTGAAAACGGCTGTTTCTGGACTTCTGGAACTTCCGGGATGGCTGTTTTTTGCCCTCCCAGAGCCTCCATGCAGACCCTGCACCTACCTGCATCCAAAATGGGCCACGTGGGGGACTCCTGGGAGGGGCGTGGTGGGCAGGGCCAGCCGGTCCAACTACTGGTTTGGCGAACCAGATGTAAATTTAACATCCAGTTTGCTCGAACCGGGCCGAACCAGCAGAATCCCACCCCTGAATGCACCCGCAACGTATCAAAGGTGCTTTTTTTCCCCCCAAGAGGCAACTGAACTTTGTTTTTTTTCTTTGAAGACGTTTCGCTTCTCATCCCAGAAGCTTCTTCAGCTTCTGGGACGAGAAGCGAAACGGCTGAAGAAGCTGAGGAAGCCTCTGGGATGAGAAGCGAAACGTCTTCACGTAAAAACCGGAAAGTCCAGCTGCCTCTTGAAAAAAACAAAAGCACCTTTGGGACAACCATGACCTGGAGTAGGGGGTCTCCAGCCGTAGCAACTTTTAAAACTTGTGGACTTCAATTCCCTGTGTTCCTCAGCCAGCTTTGCTTTGTTCACAATTCTTAAAAGTTGCTAAGGTTGGAGACCCCCTGACCTGGAGGACTGAGAATTCCCATAGATGCCCCACCGGATGTTCTTGACTGTCTTAGGTGCAAGTAAAATAAATAAATAAATTAATCCAGCATGCACTTGGAAGTTCACCTTGAAAGCATTCAGGAACAACCCTGGCAGAGCTCTATGAATTATAATGTGGTCCTCAATTTACAGTTCATTTAGTGACCGTTCAAAGTTACAACAACACTGAAAAAAAGTGTCTTTCTGATGGTGTTTTCACCCATGCGCCCATTGCAGCATTCCCCAGGATCAAAATTCAGTACGCTTGGCTCAGACTTACGACCATTGCTGTGTCCCAAGGTGACGTGATCTCCTTTTGCGACCTCCTGACAAAAGTCAATGGGGAAGCCAGATTCACTTCACAAGCGGGTTACTCACTTATTAACTGCAGGGATTCGCTTAACAACGGTGGCAAGAAAGGTGGTAAAATGAAGCAAAACTCCCCTAGCAACTGTCTTGCTTAACAACATACATTTTGGGCCTCCACCGAGGTCAAGTCTAGCTGCAGTTGGTGTTTACTACAACGCTGAAAAGTCCACATCCCTCAAGGGGCACAGCTTTGCAAAATAATATTGCAAAACGTTTTCCAGGAATGTCAAAGGAAGTCCAGTTGCCTCTTGAAAAAAAAAAGCACCTTTGGAGTTTTCTTCCTCTGGTCCTCAAGAGGGTCCTCAGTCCTCTGTGGCCATTGCTGACCTTTCCTCCTTGTCTGGGGAGCTACCTAAATGGGGGAAGGACAAGCCCTGCTTCTCAGCCAGCCAGCC